TGTATATATGGGAGCAATATCCAAATCTGGACCGATTTCAATATAATTTAGCAAATTTATTTTTGTTTCAAATTCCGTTACGCATTCCAAATTTGGAGACTGTATATGTGATCGATCAATAGATATGTGCATATAAAACTTAAATTTTTGGGAGGTACCTCCGATTCTGATGCTATATCTCCAGTTCCAAGTGGAATTTCAAAAAATTATATGGACTATGTTACTTTCAGGCGATGTTGTAGTGTAGTTGGATTTGGGTTTCGAGTCCATAAATTAGAAAGAAACATGTTTCTCTTTTGAGGAGCTCCCCATAAATTTTTAAACTTTAAAGTAACGCAATACTATATAACCTTAATAGTATACATTACTACAAATTAATTCTGGTGAGCGTCTAAAAGTATGCTATAAAGTTGCTACAGAAAATGGTGGACAAAGTCACTTTACATATGACTCTAACATGATGTGTAATCGGGCCTTTACAACATAAGTAAAGAAAAGAAATTTAAAGGAAATGTGCAAATAGACCTGCAGTACGCACAATTTTACTACAAAAAATATATTTAAAATAATAATAGAAAATTGCTACTTTTCAATATTTTTCAATAAAATGTTATATTTATTATTTTTTTCTAAAGTGTTGTCAAACACACTTTAAGCACCATTCTTATGTTTTATTTTCTAAATGTTTACAACACAAATTTATTTATTTTTTCGAATTTAGTTTATAAATATTACGATACTTGTCATGACTTACTAGACCATTAGCAATAGTTTAATATAATATTAATTTAATTTAGTTTTACTATTGTTTTTTGTTATTTTTTTAATAATTGATTTGAAATTTCTTGTCAGGGAACTGGAGTTATTTCCTTTCACTAAAGTTGTATTTTGTTTCACATTTTCACATATATTTGTATTTATTTATCGTATTTTTTATTATTATTTTATTGATTCCTTCATTTCACTTTTCATTTTGGCAGATGTATTGTAGGATTTTAAAAAATGTTATTGTTTTTTTAATATTTTTTGTTTAAAAATCGTTTTGCTTTCTAATGAAACGCATGTGTTTTCTTTTTCGTTTAGTTGTTGTGATTTGCTTTTTGCTGTTTGTTTTTTTCGAAATGGAGCGAAATGGAAATCTAAAAAGTTACTACTAATATATTATTTTTGCTAGATATCATAGTAAATTGTTTTAAATATATGAATAAATATATAATTATGTTTGAGAAAATCAGCGATAATAATAAATTTGTCGTAGAAAATAAAACGGATGATTTCTTATAAAAAACTATTCGTTGTATTCGAAAAATTCATTCATTTTTCTCATTGCCATTTTTTTTTTTTTTTTGTTAATGGTTGGTTGTGTGGTTTTTGTAGCTTTTTTGTTTAATTGTATAATAAAATATTTTGAGTAATAATAAATTTAAAAGAAATATAAGACTGAAATTTAATATTCCAACATAATATATAATGACTAAATAAAATTATCCTTGTTATTCTAAGGGATTTCAAAACCTTCAAGGACCCAAGGAAAAATGTTTAATTTTTTAAAGAACATTTTCAGGAACGGCATCGACTATCTACATTAATTTCCAATAGCCAAAGCTTTATGCAAAACGTTGGGAAATACATCTCAAAATATTGGGGTCCCTTTGTATATGGTCAAGTATATAATAAAGCCTCATAAAAACGACCGAGGAAAAATTGATCAGAAAAATTAGGAAATATTTTAGATTTTTTTGACAAATATATAAAAATTTATTTTCGTTGGTGACTTATAGAAAAATTTGATGAAGAAAATGTTTGTCTTTGGCGTCATCCTTCTAGGATGATTTTTTTGAAGGAGAATTTTGTGTAAACTCAATTAGGGTAAAATGTTCTGGCGTTTAAATATGAATTTCGATGTCTTCTAGGATCATAATATAATATTATGACAAATAATTTGGTAGAATATTTTGACTTGCTATGATCCCGTTTTGAAAGAGTGTTTTTGACCATTTTTTGAAAAAAGGGTAAAAACAAGTTAATATATATATATATATACAATATCGACTTCATACGAAATATGTGATAATTTTTTAAATATGTTGAAATGTGCGTGAGGTACCATATATAGTAGACCGAAGTATTCCACTCCATCTAATACCGATAAATATATGCGGTGTACAAATGAGAGAAATATTTAGATATTCGAACTTTGAAAAAAAATAGCTAACTTGTTTCACGTGTTATGAGATATAATTATTAAAAATTTTCAACTTTCGTGGAGCAGGTACCAAAAGGAGTTGGCCGATGTGTTCCATCTTAACAATAGATCTTGTTCTGACAGAAATATTGGGATGTGTCAAATTTGAAGAGAATCCGATGCTCATCTCGCTTTTTACTATCTTCATGGCTATTCGAAATTTTGACCCGTTGTGAGGGGAGGTAACAAAAGGAAGGAATTGTCCAATATATTCCATCTTTACAACAGATCTTCTTTTTGTAAAAATATTGGTATGTGTTAAATTTTAAGAGAATCGGATAATAATTTCGCTTTATACGTGCTTCATGGCTATTCAAAATTTCGACCCGTTGTGGGGAAGTACCAGAAGGAGTGGACCGATATATGCCATCTTTGCACCAGATTTTGTGTTAATAATAAGATTGAGACGTGTGGAATTTGAAGACAATCGGGCACTTATATCACATTTTATAAGAGATATAATTATTCCAAGTGTTGACTCTATTTCGGGAGGTAATTGTTGGAATGAACCGATATTGTCTATTTTTGCATCTGACCTAGAACTAAAATTATTGGAACTTGCAAAGATTGCAAATCTCTCTTTCTATGAGGTAAATTATTTTATCTAAAAATGTTTACTTTTGTGGGGGAGGTATCAGAAGGATGGGTCCGATATTGTCCATCTCCGAAGAGTTATTGAGCGTACCAGCCTGCAAGGCAGACGGACGGATACCTCTATGTTAACCCCAAATATCTTGAAACGGATTTAGTCCGAAGAGAAGTAGGATCTACAGCCGGGGGAGGGAATAAATGCCCTTATCGAATAATATTTATTCCTGAGAGTATAAAGAAAAAAGTGTCTTTAGTGGATCCCGAAAGCATCCTCTCAGTACAGAGTAGACAAAGCTACAACGTAGATTGACATCTGAAGAGTACTTAGTTCTAGTTCGAAGAAGCCCGGCCATTAAAATTTCAATTGATGTCAAGGGCTAGTAGAAACTACAACGCCATTCAAAATTTAAAATTCCAATTTAAAAAAAGTCTGTATTTCGACAGATATATACTATCAGAATTTTATAGGATGTGCCATAAATAGTCTACAAAGTAGTGGACACAAATCTACTTGCTTGGTTTGAAGCATCCACTTTTCTATAAAGTTCTTAAAATAATTGGAAAACTGACCATTTAAAAATGTGTGGCTCTTGTATTGTGAACCTTGAGTTCACAGACTAAATAGACCTCTCCCTCTCCATGTCATTGTCATTACGTCTTTGTGACAATTATTGCATCAAAGCCTAACAAAGACACTGAATAAATAAATAAAAAAACTTGCAAATTACTTCTCTGTTTTTCGGACTCTCTTACCTATCAATATTATCAGCAAGTTTAAAATGAGTCGGGAATCACTCAAAAAAAAATGTTTTCAACAATCTTCCTAATTATAATCCCATTATCCTTATATAAACCATTTTTATTTAAAAAAAATTGCCAAATTAAAATAAAATATCTGCAATTTTGTTTTCATAACATTTTGTTTTTTTTTTATTTTGATCCAAAGAAAATTAGGAAAAAGAAATTGAACATAACCTTATTTAAATAAAATACAGCAGAAACAGCAAGAGTAAGTAAGTAAAACTGAACATAAAAAATATAGCTTAAGAAACAATTGCGGAAAACAAGTTGTGAGAATTAAAAAAGAAAGAAACAAAACAACAATTAAACAAACAAGACAAAGTAATGAAACTTCTTTTCTTAAACTAAAATAAATAAGTTGTTCAAAACGTGGGCAAGAACTTAAATTAAACGATTTTAACTTAATGACTAGAAAGAAAAACAAAGAAAACAAAACAAAAACCTTTCGATTTGATAAATAGTTCACATAAAAAGAGAGAAAGAAAAAAACACAATTAAATTCTGATGTTCCAAAAAAAATTTTGTTGGAGAGATTGCAAGGTATCTAATCTAAAACTTGGCTTAGATACCCCACCTAAGAGAACCTTTGTTTGTTAGGTTTCCAATTCAAAAGAAATTAAATAAAAGTACAACAATTCAACAAAAATATAACGCAGACTTAAGAAACTAGTTTTGGTTTTTTTCTATCATTTTTTTTTAAATGTGTTTTTGTTTTCTTTTCACCATCTTTTGTTTAAAGTTTAGAGATTTGTTATTAAATATATTTATATACGAATGACAATAATGACAATAATATTTGTTGTTGTTTTGTTTTCTCGATAGTTTTTGTTTTTAATATATATAAAATGTTATAATTATTCACATTAAACACAATCATTTTGTTTTATAGAGGACTTGGTATATGTTTTTGTTTTTTTTTCTGACAACAATTTCTTTTGTTAAAAAATATACGTAGTGGGAATTAAAAAAAATCATTATCTTGGTAAGGATATAAAGCAAAAAAACTTATTTGACATTCAACACAATTGTTTTTTTTTTTAAATGTTTGGAAAGTAGATTTTTAAGAAAATTTAAATTAAATTCAATTTAGTTTAGTTTTATAAAATTTACGAAATTTAAGAGTGATTGAAATTAGTTTTTACATTTAAATATATATGTGTTTTTGTAATTATGGGGCAATAAGTTGGGTTGTAAAAGAAGGGATTGCTTTGGCCCACATATGTTCATGAGATAGACACTGTCTTGGGAATCTATTAAATATTCAATCTAATAAATGTTTTAAGTATTGGGGCATAAAAAATTTCAATTCCAATACCTAGGAAGAAGGATTTACAATTGAAATTTATCAGTTCATACTGTCCAATTAACTCAATTCCTGTTTGAGCTATGTGGTCATGGAAGTATGGAAGCCAAAGTACCCACTTCTTTTCCAACCCCTCACCAATATGTCGCTGGCTAAACACAAATTTCTAATACACTTAAAAAATAAGTACATAATGTTGATGGGTGATAAAAAATATTGAATGAGGATTGTTCTTTAAAAAATGTTGTATATTTTGTTGTGGTTGTTGTTTTGTTTTTAATAATTTAATAAATATATATATGTATATGTTTGTATATAGATGTCACACAATATTTGTTTTATATTTTTTTACTTTCCTATTTTTATTTTTACTACATTTTTTTTAGCAATTATTCTATAAAATATTTATTTATATATATATTTTGTTTGTTTTCTTTTCTATGTAATTGCATTCATTATTTTGGAGGGGATGTTGTGTTGTAATAAAAATGTGTAATATTACTTTTGAAGAAACGAAATTATTAGAAATTAAATTCATATTTATATAAAAATATATATGTTAGTTTGTTTTGCAAAATAAGTGATTTTAGAGGTGAAGTGAATGAAATTGAGGACTAAAATTTAATATGGAGAATATTTGAATGAAATGACAGAAAGAATTTTAAGTTTATGTGTTAATATTTTGAAAATTTCCAAAAAATGATTACACAATTTGTCCAACCAGAATGGCATGTCTTTAATCTAACCTCTCTTGATGCAAATGATAATTGTAAGAATCTAGAACTTAGGCTTTGCTGTTAAAAACCCAACCTAATCTTCCAATGTTTAAATTTTGAGGATAGCTTTTACACAACGTTTTACAGATTCCACAATTTGTACAATTATATAACTTAACCACTATTAATATTTTATTGGTTAAAGAAGGAATTATGCGAATGTGAATATCAAAATTTTGGTGCAATATTTTCAAAACATTTTCAACATAACCTTACATTTTTATGACTTTCTTTAGACCACAAGTGACCAATTTTTTCAACCATTATAAAATATATAAAATAAAACCCCAGCTAAAGTTTATCTTGCTGTAAAGTGAAATCTTGAGAATGTAAAGTTTGAGGTTAAGTTTGTTATTTTCAACCTCTCAAATATGCCTCAAGTTTTTATAACTTTTCTCCTACCACAACCAAGCAATTTATCCAACATTGATCAAATACATATATAATATAACCACCGCTGATGTTTTTCTTAGTATATAGGGAAATTTTGAGTATGTAAAGTTTGAGGTTAGATTTCAAATTTTCAAAAAATATTCAACCTAACCTTACATTTTTATGACTTTCTTTAGACCACAAGTGACCAATTTTCCAACCATGATACAATATATAAATAAACCCCACCTAAGGTTTCTCTAGCTGTAAAGAGAACATCTGAGAGGTTAGCTTTGTTATTTTCAAAAAATTCAACCTAACCTCAAATTTTTATGACTTTTCTCCTACCACAACGAAGCAATGTATTCAAACATTATAAAATACATACAATTTAACCGCTGATTAAGGTTTTTTTTTTGTGTATGTAGAAATCTTGAGAATATAAAGTTTGAGGTTAGGTTAGTAATTTTCAAAAAATTCAGCCTAACCTTACATTTTTACTGCCCTTTTCGGCCACACCTTATGTACTTTAAGACTTAACTATGTGTATACGATATTAAGGAAATAAGATAGGTAACTTGATTATAAATAGGAAACCTCGAAACTGGGTAGTATAACATAAATCCTTCCATTGAGGGCTTTGGTTTAGATTGTAATTTAAACAATTTATCTTTCCCGGCCAAGGGAGGATTTTAGGATTTTTGTTAAAATCTGAGAGCGGTCAATGGGGAGATTTAAGATTTGACATGGAGGTTTTGGATAATAGCTTTTACGAACACTAGATCATCCTGAAGTTATGGAATAATTCAACATCAAAGACTATAATAGAAATAATTGTTCATTATTTAAAGAAATAAATGTGATCAACGGGTATAATAAGGTTTCAGCCTAAGAGCCTTGCGGCCGTCACTGATAGTTTGAATATCGATCAACCTGCTCTCGAACTTGGAGAAAGCAGCTGAAACATTTTACGAGTGGACAAGTGGGAAAGTTCAGTTTCAGTCTGTGATCCTTATTTTTCGATTTTCCTTAATGATCAATATACACTTTTTAAGATCGTGCAGCAATCTTGAAGTTATCGGATCCAATTCTGGTCGTCCTGTTAAGTCATAAACTATAGTTCGTCTAGATTGGAATTCAATCGGACGTCACTGGGAAGGAGGAAACGTTTCCATTTTGAAAGAAGCCAGAATTCTAGTCGGTTTTAAAGATATGGCTTTAATCTTCGAGTCTTTTGATCGTCAATGACTTTGTGAATCTACACCGAGCTGTTGCTTTCAAGCTTAAAGTTCTCAAATCCAGTTTTTAGGAATATATACCCATTTTGAAGTTGTCAGATCATACAACATCAATTGTTCTTTGGGTGTCCTATATAGCATCCTCGATTGGAGTTTGATCTGTGATTACTGGGATTTCATTATTGAAGGAAATAAAAAATCGGACCATGTGGAATCACACTGAATTTCGTTCGGGTAAACTGGGTCACGAAAAAAAACTTGCTTCAATACACATCTTGTCTCCCATTGCAAAATTCCATCCCATTCAATGCCACACCTCAATATCACTCCAAAGTATAAAAAATAAAATCAAAAAACCAAAACCGAACTAAATCCTTTTAGAAAAACCAATTGGAAAATGGTAAAAATGATGACAGCGAATTCTTTGCAGCATTTGAGGAGGCAGCTGCCGCAGCAGCAGCGGCTGCAGCTGCTGACGTTGAGGCAGCCGCTGCACCCAACGAGGGGTTATTAAAAGCCGCTGCTGCTGCTGCAGCTTGATTGCTGGATGCCGAGCCAGAGCCGAAGGGCTGATGCTGTTGAGCCAGACTGGTGAAAAGTTGAGCAAACTCTTGTTGCATATGGAGACGTTGTCGTAGGAGTTCATAATGATTTTGAGGCTTATTATAGACAAATTTGCTAGAGGTCTTTATCATGGATGATGATGACGAGGAATTTGTGGTTGTTGTCGTCGTGATGTTATTGGTGGTGTTACTACTATTTGGTGTATTGGTTGTGTTTGTGGTGCTGGTGGTATTCGAGGAACCAGATGCTGATGATGACGACGACGTTGTTGTTGTTGTGGACGTATTATTTGTGGCTGATGAAGAGGATGTTGATGTTAAGAGATTTGAACGTTGTTGGGTTAACAATAAGGATGTTGATTGTGTTGTTTGGTTAAGATTATTTTGGTGGTGGTGGTTGTGGTTTTGTTGTTCGGAATCTTGTTTCGTTTTTTTGTTTGTCAAACATTGATTGCTGTTGTTGTTAGTTGTTGCGGATAATTTGGATAGATTGTTTATGGTGCTTAATGTCGTTGTGGTTGTTGTGGTACATGATTGTGTTGTGGAGCAGCTTAAAATGGCAGTCGTTGTCGTCGAATTTGACGATGATGAGGAGGACGACGACAAAGACGTTACCAATGTATCTTTTGTTGTAGTTTTAACATCATTACTACTTTTACCGGTGGTTAGTAGATTGCCGCAAATATTCTTATTTATCCAGGTTTTATTCACCGATGCCGGATGGACAAGAGAAGCTGTGGATAGGAAGGATGACGTTTTGTTGGTATTGGCGACGGTGGTGAGATTTGCCATCAAATGATGATGATTGTTGCCAGTAGGATGATTTTGATGGTGTTGTTGTAGATGTGGTTGTTGTTGTTGTTGGAGGTGGTGGTGATGATGGTTAACAACAGCAGTCAATTTTGTTAATAATTACGTTTGTTTAGTTTTATTTGTCTTAAAGCTGACTTGTAATACACGATTGCCCAAGGTATAGCCATTCAAAGATTGTATGGCCAATACGGCCTCCTCATAATTGGTCATGGTAACGAAACCAAAGCCTTTGCATTTATTTGTTTGCAAGTCACGTATAACCTGCGAGAAAAAAAACAGAAAAAGGAAGTGAGAGCGGAACAGGATGCCATTAAGTAACAAAAAAGACAATGGCTGATGTGTCAGCTGGGAGATGGCTTACCTTTACGGACTGCACGGCACCAAATGGACCGAATAGCTGCCACAAAACATTCTCCTCAGTCTCCTGGGCCAAATTATAAACAAAAATACACCAACCAGAACCATTAATGGGATTGCCGGGTAACATGGAATTGGCCAATAGATCGCCGGTCAATGGTGAATAACGGGAAATGACAGAGCTGCAAAAATAAGGAAGGAAAAGGAACATTAAAAACTTATTTTTAAAACCGTTTATGTTTACACAAAACGAAAAATCGTACCTATAACGTCCAGCAGCTGTGGGATGTATGGCGGCTGCAGCTGCCGCAGCGGCAGCCCCAGCAGCAGCGGCCGCTGGAAAACCTCTTGTCCTGGGATTTTGCGGAGTCAAATAAGCCGTCAATGGCTGAAAGGCTTTGTTGTTACTGGGATTGTTGGCGAATTTCACCACAATGGGCTCAGTGGCATTTTTGGGTATGGTGCCATTCAAAGCCTTTATGGCCTGATCGGCCTCATGACGTTGATCGAAACGTATAAAACCAACTCCCTTGGAAAGACCTGCAAAATTTTGAAAGACAATTAAAATTATTTTAATAAAACAAAAATAAATCCCATGACGGGGAAAACAAGTTGTAACAACAATGTATTTATCTCTTCCAGAACTGCAAGAATGTAACAATTTTTGCTACGATACCCGATTTTTGCTTTATGATATCGAATAAAATTGCAGAACTAGTAAATTCTTGACGGTTCTGGAACAGAGCATATGTTATGTTATGGCATGAATGACTGCTTTGGCTTAATTTAGTTTCTTTACATAAAGTTTTAAGGCAATTAAAAGCTTTCTGAACCCGAAATGTGAAATGATACAAAAATGAAATGAAATGATACAAAACAAACTGAATGATGATTTTTGAACATAAAGAAAACAGCAACAACATACAGAAATGATAACAAGAAACCAAATAAGAACAACAACATACCCTGGTCAATAGGCCCGCCTATTTTTTTTTAAGTGAGCAGAATATAACGACGACAGAGAGTGTTTAGTGTTGTGTATAAAAAATAAATAAATAAAAATTATATTTATAAAGAATTACTAAATTATAATAGAAAATAAAATTTAAAAGTAATTTAAATGATATATAATTGGTATTTTTGTGAAATTTAAAGTTTTACTGTTTTATTAAATAGTTTCCTAATAGTGAAATCCTATGGTTCATGGAACAACACAAACATGCAAGCCTTAATTTATGGGTCTAATCCCTTAACATTCACATAGCCAACAGCTACGGGCTAAGACCACGTCTATGTCTTTTTTATCTAACAGACGAATCTGGTGGCATGATTTAAATAGGAAGTAATAAAGATGAAAATCGAACAGAGTCCAAAGGACGCCTTTGTACGCGGTCCTCTTTTAAATGGTTAATATTCTAACATTTATGGTATATTTTACATAGGAAAATCTGATTTTTTGCCAGATGGGCACCCAAATTTTTCGATCATCTTGAGATCCACATTCCTACCAATAGCAATTTGTACCGATGTAAATAAATGGATATTAATACAGAAAAATAATCAAGAAGTCGGTTGGTTTTGCGACAGATGACAACGTCCGTTTTTTTTTTTTCGTTAAAATTATTCAAAATGATCACCCTTCAAGGGGATGTTCCGAACCAAGTTAGCCAATAGTGTTTATTTCGTATCTGACCTAAATATGAAATAAATATTACAACGTACCAGATTTCGACTAGATTGACTACTTCTTTAATTTTTATGAGATATGTGATAATTTTTGGAAAAAAATATTGAAATGTGCATGTGTAGAGGACCAGATATAATGGACCAAAGAATTCCAATTTCTTCATTCATCTACTACGCATAAAAATATTGGAAATATCGAGAAATTTAAAGAAAATCGGTGACCAAGTTTAAACAATTTCGCTGACTTGGTTACAAGTAATGAGAGATATAAATATTGAAAAAAATAAAATATTGGGATATGCCAAGTATGAAAAGATCAGAAAATAATTTCGCATTTTGTGAAGATTATGATTATTCAACATTTTGACCCTTTTGTGGGGGAGATACCCGAAGGAGTACTCTATTCCAATCAATATTCATACCAGATCTAGGGTTGGAAGAAATATTGGGGTGTGTGAAATTTGAGGACAATCGGACTCTTATTTCACATTTTATAAGAACTATAACTCAAAATTTTAACCCTTTGTGGTAGAGGTACTATAAGCAGTGGGCCAATATTGTCCATCTTCAACCAGATTTTGTGTTGGTAGAAATATTGAGAAGTACCAAGTTCGGAAAGAACCGAATGCTTATTTTACTTTTTTGTGAAAGTTGTATGGTTTAATTTGTTGACCCTTTGTGGAGGAGGTACCAGAAGGTGTGGTATTCCGATGTATTCCATCTTTATACTAGACCCAGAGTTGGTAGAAATATAAGTGTATGCGAAATTCAAAGACTCTGACTCTTTCTTCGTTGTTATTATTCAAAATTTTCAATCTTTGTGATGAAAATTCTAGTAGGAGTGTGCTGATATTGGTAATTTTCGCATCTGATCTTGCACTGATACAAATTTTGAAAAAATCCCTTTTAATGTTTTTGGGGGGATGCGCAAAAGTTTGGACGTAATCGGATACTTCCCTCGAAAGTTATAGACAGACAGACGGACACCCATAGTAACTCTAGAAATGAGTTAGAGAATCCCGCTACTGAGGTCGAAAACGGGTATACAAATGTTATTAATGCTTCAATGACTACATAAGACATTAGTCAGGTGTCCTTTAAAGCACGTATGTTGTATACCAGTTTCTCATTGTTGAGAATCGTCTTTATTATATTAAAATTCAGATCCTTCAAATCTTGTAGACCAGAAGGCATTTACGTACTAATATTGTAGAAACAGAGTTAAAATTGAAGTAACGCAAAGACAGAATTTGCCTCCCATTACGACTTCCAAAATTTTTCTGGTTTTAACATCGTAACGATATAAGCTCTAAAATGTCTTGTAAACCACTAATCTAACATCGATTGGCCAAAGTCTTCTTAGAGCCTGGTAAGGGTATCGCAATTGTTTAACGATCTAAGGATATCAAATCCATCAAAGCCTTCTTTGTTCTTATCCTTAAAATGAGAACTAAACTTAGAGCCTGGCAAGGGTATGACAACTGTTTATAATCCAAAGATTCCTTTCTTCAACCGTTTCCGTCACATATCTTTGAATAACACGTCTATGAACTAGCCAAATGTCTTCAATTTTGCCGCCGGGATTTAAGTTTCTTCAGCGCCACATAATGGACAATGATGAATATATCCCAAATAACAATCCCCGAGCTAATGTGAGTTGCGCTCAAATGAAAATGTTTATTATCATTCATATCTCTTAAAGACCAGGATAAAGTTAGTCAAACACTAAAAAGAATGTAACTGAGCACTTTCTGCTGGAATTCAATAGGCAAAGTCACTTAATCATCACACTACGACGAAAGATACATAGTTTAGTTTCATTCGAAAAAAAAAACTAGTATTTTCATTGACGGCAACCTCTCGTTAAGAAGGAACTTATCAAAACCCCTGTCTCAAAATATCCAAATCTGTAAACGACAAAGTCATAACATAACATCCGTATCGTAAAATCACTTCCTATTAATATGATTAATTATGTTACGCACATAATAAAAAATCTAATAGCAGCCCTAGGAATAATCGAAGTTTTGGAAGTGTCATATAGCTTGACTTTCTTTGTTATATACATATTTCGTATTTTCTTCTTGCGGGCTTACAACTAAGACTGGAATTTAAACCAGCTCCCATTAAATTGTATATATTGAATATATTTACTTACCCGTTATATTGTCGCATAATATTCTTGAGGTAATTATTTTTCCATATGGACTAAATAATTGTTCCAAATCTGGTTGTGTCATATTCTTGGGAAGACCGGAGACATATAAGTTAGCACCTTTGATAGATTCAGAACTAGGACGGGCAATAGATACCTTAAAATAAATACATTAGGAAAATGGTAAATAAACATTTTTCTAAAAGAAAATGTATTGTTTGTAGATAGGAAGAAGAGTTATTTGAAATCTATATAAAGGGTGATTTCTAAGCTATTATCTTTTTGACAACAATGGTTTGAACAGGCCACATGCGTTTCGTTGTTGTTGTAACAGTTTCATAAGCTTTGTTTGATTTGGAAAACCTAAATGTTTAACAAGTAATAAAGCAGTAAGTTCGGTCGGGCCGAACTTTAATACCCTCCACCATTTGGAACGAATTCGGAAATTAAAAAAGAATCCGCTAAAAATACTCTTCAAATCTTAAAAATAACGAATATAGCCGTTATATTGGGGTCTGTACGAAGACATGATCTGCATAGGCAACTTTTGTCATAAGCCATCGGTGAGTAATGTCGTTAAAATCATCAAAATACCGAATATCGGGAGGTACCGTTGTATTGGGGTTATACGAAGGCATGGACCTGCACAGACAATTTTCCGTCATAGGCTGTAGTATCCATTACGAACTTCAAATACCAAATTTGAAACAATTCCGGTGAATAATGTCGCTAAAATCATCAAAATACCGAATATCGGGAGGTACCGTTATGAGGGAGGTATGCGAAGACGTGGGCCTACATAGACAATTTTCTGTCTTAGGCCATAGTGCCCATTACGAATTCTAAATACGAAATTTGAAACAACTCCGGTGGATAATGTCCCTAAAATCGTCAAATATCGAATATCGCGGGGTACCGTTGTATGTGGGCTATACGATATCGTGGACCTTTATGGACATTTCTTTCCAGGGGATAAAATGCTTAGAAAGAACTTATAGTATGGCTTTTTAGACAATTCCATTGAAAAAATGTAGCTTAAATCAAAATACCGAACATAGGAAGGCACCGTAATGTGGGGGATATACGATATGCGGAAATATCTTGGACCTATATAGACAATACTCTTCCAGGGCGTAAAGTATTCAGAAGAAACTCCTTTTGTGGATTTTCAGAAAATTTTATAAAGAAATATCGGGGGAACCGTTATGTGGGGGCTATATGATATCGTGGACCGATCCAGCCCATCTTCGAACATGACCTGCCTGCAGACAAAAGATTGACCTGTGCAAATTTTAGATTCCTATCGTTATTTGTTTTGACTCTAGCGTGATTACAACAGACGGACAAAGTTAAATTGCCTCTCACACTGTATATAATGTGTCTCGGCGACCTGATGGGACTAAGATGAAAAAGAGTTGTGTGTCTCAAAAAACTTCTAGATCAGTTCCTAGATGATGTGTTCACATAAAGACACGATTCCATAATAGTCTCTATATGTACTTTAATTAAATATGGGAAAGTTAACTGTGCAGAATTGAGAGAGTTCACCAACCGTCGTTTCAGAAAACTTCACATCCATTCTAATGTTCGAGTAGCACAATGGATTTTCCGAGACATAAATAAACCTACAATCCTTCGCTATATAAATGCTGGTCAAATACACGTGAGATACCAGCCGAAATGTTGGAAATATTTTTTTCAAAATTGGACTAAGCGGATGGACCATTTGAAGCGCAGTCGCGGTCGACATTTCCAAGAAATAATCTTCACACATTAAATTTTAAAAGCCCTTTGTCAAGCCCTTTTAAAAACCACCCTTTATTTTGTGTCCTTCTCTACATGTTCTTAAAGCATATCTATAGTTCTTCTTACTTTGATAGTTTTATTTTGTAAACGTAAACCGTTCAACGATGATATGGCCTTTTCAGCATCTTCTTGCTTTACATAATTGACAAAACCGTAGCCCAAGCTTTGACCTGAAATGTGAGAAAAAAATTCATTAAAAATTGTTACTTAAATACAAAAAAAAAAATTCAAAATTATGACTGCGAATAATTTACATTTATAAAGAAATATAACTCATTCGCCGAAATGACACTTGGTCACTTTCAGAACTGCAAGAATGGACAAATTTGTACCGCGATAACCGATCTTCACTTTATGATATTGTAAAAAATTGCAAAACTAGTAAATTCTTGCAGGTTCTGGAACAGAGCATATATCTTTTATTAATTTGAATTTAAAATCTCCTTCTCACCTGTCACTTTATCTCTGATCAATTTACAGGACTCCACTTCACCGAAACTGACAAACAATGCCCGGATGTCTTCCTGTGACATTGTCTGTGGCAAATAATTAACGATCAAATTGGTTTTGGGATCATTGTCGGTAGTGTTGTTGTTATTATTGTTGTTGGCATTGGTATTATTGTTATTGGTTGCGTTTGGATTGTTATTGTTGGTGTTGGCATTGGCGCTACTGCTATTGGCATTTGTGGTGCTTTGAGCCAATGTGGCACCGGCACCGGCTCCGCCATTTTGCTGCTGCTGCTGTTGTTGCTGACCCTCAACCATGTTGTTGCTGTTGGTATTATTACCCGTAGATGAACTGCATGAAGAGGGGAAGAAAGTGATAACATTTTTTCTTATAATAACCAACAAAATTTCTCAAAACAAATAAATAAAAGTAACGAAATAAAAAAAATTAAACAAAAAAGCGAATAAATAAAAAAAATAAAAATATTCCAAAAATGTTACACCCTGCACCATTCTAATCTTATGGATCCAAAATAAAACAACAGCTTTTAAAAGGAAATCTGTTTGTCTTCAATGAATGAAAATAAAGCCAAATAAAGACTTAAAGTCAAAAAGGTCCGTTCCCAGATTGAAAACATATTTTGCCAGGCTTAAGGTTTCAACACCTTAGGTTTCAACTACTATGCATAATCAGACCCAATATAAATACGTTGACATTTGAAAGGCGTATTCTTTATGTAAATCACCAAAGAATGCTTTAAAAACAAATATTGCCAAGAGAACCTGTATCCAGAACTAATAACGGGGAAATTATCAGTTCGCAGCATCAATGGAATTGATCTTATATTATTTAAGATTTTTCGGGTCTAGAAAACATATTGAGGGTAATGTGAAACAAGATTACTTTTCAGGACTGTATTTCAAGTGACTGATATAAAGAGGAAGTTGTTTCGAAAAACTTCTAGGGCAGTACAATATCCTCTAGATGACCTGTTTACATAAAGACACGGCTATAAGGCAAAGCCTTATAACTGGAATAATACAATCGAACCGTCCCCTGACTTAACCATAGAGTCACCTGGTCATGGATTCTTGTTCTATGTTCAAATCAATGTTGTTTCCATTTCCCCGATTTCAGAATATCTGAACGCTGCACTTTCTTAAACCATGACTTAACCATAGAGTCACCTGGTCATGGATTCTTGTTCTATGTTCAAATCAATTTTGTTTCCATTTCCCCGATTTCAGAATATCTGAACGCTGCACTTTCCTAAACCATGGGAAGCTTATTGGCCAGAATTCAGATAGTTCGCCAAACTATGGTTCAGACAACTGTCAAATTCTTCTTATGTTCGGGTAGTAGAAAGGATTTTCCGAGACACCAACAAAGCTGCAGCCGCTCGCTTTATAACTGCTAGTCGAATACCCGAAATAGGACCAAATTTCTTAGCAGAAGCACCGGCAGTGGGTAACGGTTAAATCCCTCTCGACCCCTGGGAATAAATATGATTGGACCTCAGTCACATTTAACGACGTAACAGTAACTGATACGAAAAAACACGACGAATAAGATATTTTCCCTCCAAGGAGGTACCAACATAGTTTACGAAGGGTGATGTAACGTAATATCAATGGTAATGTTGAAACAACTTAATATGCCATGAGTTAAGTGCCTCACAGTAGTCCTCACCCTCTAAGTTCCCAAAATCTGGAAAATGGTCCGGATGTTCCCACTACTGACGCCTGGCAAAGACACCAGCAAAGACGAGTCATACAGAACAATTTCACTTTTGTCGCCAATAGCAATTACTCTTCAGGCTTTATTTCTCATTAGAAGGAAGCAATTAGTTGCAAACCACCCACATGGATTCCGACCACAATATAGTACCACAACACGCCGTATCCACACATATCAGTCGAGAGCTAAACTGAACAAGTCGTGCCATAGAACCGTATGCGTAGCCCGAAACTTGTCAAAGGCGTTTAGTACACGCCATATTGTCGAGGTTATCGAGATAACTACATTCCGGTCAGGTTTGAAACGATGGGTAATCTAATAATCGCCAATCGTATGTGAAACTCCGTAACAAGCAGTGCAAATCCCGTAGAGTGAAAAAGGAAGAGCCCGAAGGTGTGGTGCTATCTCCGGAACAGACAGCATTGAATTCGCTACCTATGCAAAAGGCTGTAAGATCCTTGGATCCTGTCGCCGATAACATATGTGTCAGAGGAATATGAAAACATCCACCACTAAGTCAACGGGTTCACTCTTTACAATATGTTCTACAGATATGAGAACATTGATGAATGTAGAAGTCAGGGGCCATTTTATTCCATTCACTAACTATCAAAAGATCCAAGGGTTACATATGATAGCATGTTCAAGTCAACCGCATAGACACAACTATCAGCAATTGAGGAATAAGGTCCTGAAGGCAGGCATCACTTTGGACGCGGAGAAGAAGACCTTATTGAACTCTTATAACGCGATAAGTCGATCTGTGGTTAGCTACGAGGACGAGCGAATACTAGCACTCCGCTGCCCTGAGAACTGAACAGGATGGCTCCTCATGACACCAGTAGACCATTAGCATGAACAGGTGAAAATTCTTCCCATACATCCACATAATCACATTCTTTCGTTGCAATACCTGCTTCGGCATTACCATGCGAGTTATCCACATCATCATATGTTGGATAAAACTCCGCCAATCAGACGAATCAGGAAGGACATACACGTTCTAGAGAGATCCCACGTTATAGTTATAGAAGTCTATCAGACAGATATAAATCGTATTTAGGCTGATGTAGTCACAGATGTTATTAAATGTTGCAATATGAATGTCGTCATCGGAGTCCACATCCCATCCATTGCAGTAGAAGAACGTAGTGTGCCTAAACGAACCAGAATATTTTTGGCGTAATTACTTTCATGGTGGTGCAGTCTTCTCAATTCGTATTGGGCAAGAATTGACGAAGATGTATGATACAATACGCTGCGAAGATCTTTAGCTAGCTTAATTTTTATAACCCGAAATATACATGCAACATGTATAGCGCAGCTGACCCCCAAAACCCCAAATTTTTATATCCTACACAACTTATTGCTAAGGGTGTTATATTTTTGTGCATTTGTTTGTAACATGGAGAAGGAAGCGAGATAGACCAATAGTTACTTTTGAGGATCTTCATAGAATCACTTTCTGAGTCGATTTATGCATGTCAGTCCGTCTGTCCGTCCGTCCATGTAATCTTGTGAACAAAATGCAGGTCGCATTTATTATCCGATTGAGATGAAATTTTCCAAACAATATTTGTTTGGTCCAAATTGGTGATAATCGGATCAGATTTAGATATAGCTCCCATATATCCGACCTAATTCAGTCTTGAAGCAAGTACTTCAAATTTGGTGAAAATCAGATCAGCTTGCATATACATACTTCATCCAATTTGGTGTTTTAGTCCCTCGTAATATGCATTCGATAACAATGATATTCGGTACCGGATATCTTATAGAGCTCGGAAATACCTCTGCCAAATTTTATCAAGATCGGTTCAGATTTGGATATAGGTCTCATATACATATATCTTCCATCGATTTTGGCTTAATTGTTCACTAAATGGCCAATATCAGTCAAAAAGTCCTGAATTTTGATACATCCTACCGAAGTCAGTCTAGAAACAAGTACATGAAACTAGGAGAAAATCGGTTCAGATATAGCTATAGCTCCCGTATATATGTTTCATCCGATTTGGTGTTTTGATATTTGGTACCAGATATCTTATAAAGCTCGGTAATGACTTTGCCAAATTTTATCGAGAAAGGCTAAGATTTGGACATTTCTCCCATATATATGGTATTTGAAGAATGTTGAAAAATCTGAGGAATGGAGTATTAAAATATGCCCACAAAGTTACCAAAATATTTCATTTAAAATTCTGACAACGACTCAGGGTTGTTTTTTTAACATATAAATGATGTTCAATGAAATCAACTGGAATCAAATAAGTGTCTCATAGAGAGAACATTGAGACACATGCAGTACGAGAAAATCACAGAAGTTTTAGAAGGGTTCTTATTTTCAAAGTAATATCAGTAATACATTTACATAAATTTCCATATCGGCGGTGCAGGGTGTATAAAATTCAGATTGGAGCTAGACATACATAAAATAAAAATAATAACCAAATGATATACCAGAAATACAATCGCATAAATTTAAATACTGGTGTAGAGTGTAAGTTACAGTTATAACATAAAACAAATATAGAATAAGAAATAAATAATAAATAACAGTTAATATTCTTACGGGGGAGAAAATGAACGCGAAATTATAAGCTGTTTAAAATCTTTGATTTTTTTGTTATGTTTTAAATTCAATATAATACTGTCTGTTTGTTTGTTTGTATTTGATACGTTACGTCGTATACAAAGTATTGTATATATATGTATATAAAATTGTATTTTTATTTACAAAATTTCACTAATAAAAATTAATTAAATAAAATGAGCTGAAATTAAACAGAAATAAAAAGAGAAGGAAAGAAAAAGAATTTAATTAAAAAACAAGTTGCATTTCAATTGACGACAATTCATGTACTTACCTCTTTTTGTCTGTCCTTTTTTGTGATGTTTTGAAAGAGGAAAGTCCTTCAAGTTATTTTTGTTTTCAGTCAGTCCTTGTTTTCTAGAGTACTGTTTAAATTGTTTTTCTTTTTTGTTATTTGTTATTATTTTTCTTCTTTTAAAGAGAGAAAGAGTAGTGTAGCAAACAATTTATAATAACAAAAAGTTTTCGCTCGCTTTTATTTGTTGTTGTTGTTCTATATAAACGGATCACAATTTGTTTACATTAAAGAAGAATAATTCAACTGGAAAAAAAAGAACAAAAAAAAAAACAAAATTAATAAGTATTTATATTAAATTTTAAATTGTGTTCAAAAAAGATTAACAAAAAACATATCAATTGCAATTTTATATTTTCTCCATATTGATGATATTTTGTCATGGTTCAGTGTGAATATACAAACTTCTTTTGTTCAGAGATTCGCAATGAAATTTGATTTAGAATAATTCTTCCTTTGACACATTCCCCAAAAATGAAGTATAAATTTAGATTTTGGTTTAGATAGGAAATACAGTAAAAATAAGCATATATTTTTCGCTTGAAATATATACATTTTGAATGTAATTTTCTTAAAAAGTATAAGACCTAGATATATGATTTATTCTAAGATTTTTATTAACATTTTGTATAGAATTTTTCTTATTTTCGGCATAAAATTAAAATTTTACGTTATTTTTAGGCGGCAACTCAAAAAAAAGTTCAAGGAATATTTGATAAAACAAGTTAAAAGGTATTTGTCGGTTTTGCCGGCAGATTTATACCCTTAGCCAATATACGATTACTTAAAAATATTTCGACTTGATTATTCAAATGTTTCACCCCTCATGGAGTACGTTCCGAAGAAATGGGCCAATATTAGCCATTTCGAATCGGACCTAAATAAATATGGTTAAAATATTGCTACGTGCCAGATTTGGACTATATTGGCAACTTCCTTCACTTTACATGACATATATGATAATTTTTAGAAAATGTTAACATGTACCAGATATAGTCGACCGAAGTATTCCATTTTCAAGCTTCATCTAATACATATAAAAATATTGGTATGAGTAATATTACAAGATAATCGAATATTTATATCCAAGTTATGGAAGATCAAGAAAATCAAAATTTTATATTTATCTCAGGTTTCTGGCAAAGAGAGATATATTTATTTATTTATATTTATATTTATATTTTAGCAAGTTCTAAAGAATCGTTGACTTGTTTCACAAGTTATAACAGATAAAAGTATTGAAAATTGTGAACCTTTCTGAATGAGTTACCAGAAGGGGTTCAGTTCACAGATATATATCATCTGCACAACAGATATTTTATTAGCAAAAATGTTTGTGTGTGAACTTTGAAGAGTGTTGAATGCTTATTTCGAATGTGTTTATGAATGTTCATTTCGCGTTTTATGAGCTTCATGAATATTCAACATTTTGTCTCTTTGTGGGGGAGGTACCAGAAGGAATGGACATATATCTTTCATCTTTACGCCAGACCTTGGGTTAATAAAAAATATTGAGATGTCACATTTTATATGTTTTTTATTCAAAATGTTGACCCTTTGTGGGGGAGGTACTTGATGGAGTGGACCGATTTTGGCACCTGACCTAGCACTGATGCTAATATTAGGATTCGCAAAGTTGGATCAAAATCGGATTATCGTTTCACTTTCTGTGCACAAAAATATTGTTTGAAAAAATGTTGACCCTTTGTGGGGGAGGTACTTGATGGAGTGGACCAATATTGTCATTATTCACACCGACGCAAATTTGGAGCAAAATCGGATTATCGTTTCTCTTTCTGTACAGAAAATATATTTTTTGAAAATTTCGACTTTTTGTGGGGGAGGTACCAGAAGGAGTAGACCGATATTGCCCATCTCCTAATTCGATATAAGTTTGACAAAAATATTACGGTGTACCAAGTTTGGACCAAATCGGATACTCCCTTCGAGAGTTATCATGCACACCAACCAGCCACCCAGACATACAAACGGACATAGCTAGATCGACTCCAAATGTCTTGAAACTGATTTGGTCCAGATAGACCTAGGGTCTAAAACCGTTATTTCGACTAGGCACGTTTTGACCGTATCATGTAGGTTGCTTCTGACACCCCACCATGCATTTAATGGTTTAAATGTCTCCTGCGGTAACTCTCGTCCACTGTTGACATGAGTAGGCACCTTTCTGCTGTTCTTAGGACGGAGTTTTGGCAGGTCTGAAAGGTTTTTTACTGCGTAGCACTAATAATCACAGACCACACTCTGCCGCATAGTTAACCACAGACCGACACATCTTATTCTTAGAGCCCATTGTTGTTGTTGTTAAATTAATACATGTCGCGTGTTGATCTCAGCTAATCAGGTTCAGTTGGGCCAAAACTATGATTGTTTGCCTGAACAGTCGACATTCTTTAGCTGCAATGGTTGGAGGTGTAACCTTAGGTCATTCGGTAATGAATGACAACATCGGTGAGTGCATCAGTATGAATGCTACGCAGACCAGTCAGATAGGCTTCTTGATAATGAGATTCTCGCCCTATTTAGTTCGTATAAGTCCATTCTAATCCGCGTGGGTTAGTTTAATCCACAATATGATGGTTTGGATGACTCCTACGATAACTCCGAAGCAGGTACAGCAACGAAAGGATGTGGTATTGCCTTCTCAAGTAAATTATCCATTGGAGTCATGAAGAGGCACCCTGTTGAAGTTCTCAGGACCGGATTTTGGCAATTCTGAATACTTCACAACAGCATATCACTGAGGCTGCAAAGCTAACCACAGACCGACCTATCACTTTATATGAGGTTAACAAGGTCTTCTTGTCCGCTCTCCAAGTGCTGCCTTCAAGATTTTGTTCCGACACTTCAATTTATCGCAGATAGCTGTGGCTTGAGTGGATATGTGGCCCCTAAGAACTTTGGGTAGTTTGTGGTCGGAATTACATGTCCCCCTCGACTAGCATACTCAGCTGTTTTTTCATTTCCGAAGACCATGTGGTCGTTGAATATGTGGCGGATATTTTGCTACTCATCTCGTAGAAGTAGGCGACAAGCTTCGCGAAATAGGTGTTCAACCAACATGTCTGTGTCATCAACGATATCATTGAAGGCCATGTTGTGAAATCATCCCCATAAGGGATCTCAATGCAGTCTGGAGAGCGCGAAATGCAATTGAAGTAGAAGTTAAACATGAGATCACATAAATAACACCACGAGGTTTGGGCTTCTTAGTCCTTCATTTCACGTACGACAGGCGTCAACACACACAGGCGGGAAAAGATCTAATATGACGTAGTAGTCTTCGTCTCGAACTATCACTCACGGGGTGCTAGATATATAGATTATTAAAATAGCCAGCACACCACTTCATATTTGTCGGTGTCCACAATTAAACGTGATTGAGGTTTTATCATCCTTCTTCCAAGGGTTAGAGAACGATTTAAATTTTACCCACAATTATCTCACATCGGTTCTAATGTTGTAACACTTAAATTCTGTAGTCACCTATTCCTCTTATGCTCCTAAAGCAACCCGGTTGACTTCCAATGTCAGTAACTTACTGTGGGATCAGTAGGATTTGAACGACGAAACTCATTCGCTAGTCTCACTACCTCCACTGGGGAATTTGGCTTTGTTTCGGAGATTCGACTCCCATCAATATTGCGATCTGCTGCAAGTGCGATGATGTCAGATTTTGCTACCGGAACATCAGAGGTATTGAAAAGTTTCTTGGAATATTTTTCGGAAACCCATCAAGCATATACTATGAGGTGTGGGACAAATATTTCAAGGATTTGCAACGACATGCAAAAATTTGAAGTATCCTCCATATTGTAAGGGATGGTATAAAAAGTATGCGTTCATTAATAAATCAGCAGAGAAGGGAGACTTTATATACGAGCAAAAGTCTTTAAACTCGAGCAGCGATAGGCCATTTGACCAACAGACCAGCTAAGATGTAATAGTTGAAAAAATAGCGGTAAGGCATGACAGACGAGCGGAACGATGCTCTACAGACGAGAAGAACTCGGAAGGGGAAATTTGTAGACGAGCTAGGTAGTATTTATAGACAAATTGAAAATCGAACTTTGATGGGAGTATTTAGGAAAACATTATTTTGGGTAAGGCCTCGTTTAGAACAGAGACGAGTCGAGCACAAAAAACAGAGTTTTTAGATGAGATCAGCCAAAAATCTTTGTTGGCTGGAAGGGAACCTTCATATAGAGATCGGCTGCAACTGATATTATGTCGAAAATCCTTTTTCCTTTCTGAAGCAACGATTGGTGTGCTTATCCGCTGTTTAGGAAATGACGAGTTCGAGCTTATAAAATCATTGAAATCTCGTAGTACCAGGCGGTTGGTGCCTTACAAATGTGGCAGAATGTCTGGCGCCTTCATACTTTCCATGTATGGGTCACTTCTATTGATAGGAACTGAAAGGTGTAACAAGAAAGTAAATCCATAAAATAGTGCACAATCAGCAATACATATGTGGCGTAAGTTGCTACGTCTTGGGTTGCGATAAGGCTTTGCAGCACGTTGTAATGTAATCCCCTTTACCGAAACAGTTCTGTAGTGAATGACGTTTTGGCAAACAGGATCATTCGATTGAGGACCAGACGATTGACAACTTCTTTTTAGAATCACGTATAGATTAGTGGCCTATCGGGGTCATAATGATATTCCCATTATGGATGTCGGGTTGGTGTTCTGGCTAGACGGATTTTTTTCAATTGCGTATGGCAGCCCACCGCTTTGCCGCCTTTCCACATACCGGACTTCTGCGTTATAATATAAAAGCAAGATTTACTTATCAGCTCCACAAGTGCTGGCGGCAGGAGTCTTGAAAATGTAGTCTCTACTTTTAATTTTATCGCAGATAGCACAGTAAGTCCCGACGAGGAGGCTATAGAATGTAACTTGTTGTCGGCTTTAAAACTCCATCGTCCTACATATTCAAAGGTAGCCCCATATCAGCTCTCCTTGTAATAAATTCTGTGGTGGCAATTGTCAAACCACTCATCTTTTCACAATACTCTTCTTTACTTGGCTTTCAAACTGAAATTATGCAGAATTGCTTATTGAAATCCCTTTCAACTTTTACAACAATACGTCACCATTTGGGTGCCAGAAGTACATGTTATGCCAAACAATTACACATCAAACAATGAAAAACTTACATTTGTCCCAAAAACTTTCAGGAAACCAATTTCGTTGAATTACAATTTCAGGGTTAATTTCAAAAT